ATCTAGAGCCACATAGAAGAGCTTCGTACCCTTTGGCGTAAGGACTACAACACAGAAGAGATCACTTCCAAAAGCAACCCCACCCTCTTTTAAAATCCTTTAACCAGAGAAAACTGCGTGCATACTGGCCTTATACGCCTCTGTTTTAACCGCCCCGATGTTAATTTTTTTAAAACGAAACTGTCTTAAACAAAGTGTCTTATCAGAGACGTATACGTTTCTGGTCTGACGTACTGACAAAAAAACGGTAGCTGAATCTTAATAAGAGCCAGTACAGATTGATTTTGATGGTTTTAAGTTTAAAAAAATAGAAGTCCGAAATTACGGCCTTGCGGCCTTTCAGTAGACGACCTACCAGTACAGGCTTTACTGAAATGGGGATGCCCAGGGAGCTAAAAGAGAAGTACTGGTGAGGGTAGTGCACCCCCGCTGAGATAAGGCCACCCCTGATAGCGGTCAGGTCATCGTACCTAACACACCGGTCTGGTTTATCCAGGTAAATTAGCAAAAGGAATTTGATATAAGATGATTTCACACGTTAGGATTTACATTGCGATTTCGCTGAAATTATCATAAAATAGTTACAAGTATTTTGTCAACTAGAAACATAAATATATGATTTTAAATAGATACAGTGTAAGGTTTAATTTGTTCTTTTGAAATTCGGAATGAACACTTATCTCATTCAACCTTTCCATTTCACCTACTGGACATGTTTGTGTCAATTATAAGATATAAAGCATGTGTTTTATTTCCTATCAAATTGCCTCTTTGTTGCAAATCTAAAACGGAAAATTCTGAAAAATAAAACTATTATGTATGTTAGAAAATTATTTTAAAAGAAATGTTGTCGTCGACATTCGTCAGATACGGAAGGCGGCGTTGGTGCTTCGGTACCGCCCAACCCCTCCCCTACCCAATTTTTGATTTTTTACTGTACTAGTTATCTGAAACTCATTTCAATTAAAATGGATTAAAATACATCAAGTACATTTAGATATAATCATAGCGTAGTTTCAAATTAATAAACACTAATCCAACCCCCAATCCCTATGAAGTCCTTTGCTATTTATGCCTCACAACCATACGTTTCCGACGCATAGTATCAAGGGCATTTAGTGTTACTCATCTTCATTCGTCATTATTATATACCCGAAGATACACACCCCCGTGCACGGTGGTCGTCTTTATACTTTCCCTGTTCAATATTTTAATAAAATTAAAACGATAGGTAAATTCAAACAGAGACGTATAAAATGTAGTAGCTATTTAATTAATTACAATAATGTTTGTTTGGACTTATCTGGATATGTCGGAGTAATCATTCTCCCCAAATGTTGGTTGAGATACATCTAATTTTTACTTCCTAAATTCTCAGATTTTTAAAGCTTTTCTCGGGTGCGGTTGGAAGGAGAGGTGGCATTTATTTCGAGAAATGGTGTTAACCACTAAAACATCGAATTTATATTTCCGAAATAGTCAGATTTAGTTAATCTACATGACGCCGAAACACAACAGGAGGAAGAAGATAATCTAATATTACTCTTTACACAGCGAGATAGGTCCAAACAAACCAACTGTAGAGAAGTCCCTGGTCCCTATGCCTGAAACCACAGGTTGTAACCTCGTGGTCTTTACAATAGCCGCAGGTAACAGTGATGACCAAACGTTTAAACAATAATAAAGGTAAGGCCAGGTAAAAGCAAAGACCAGATGTTAGTTGGGATTAATTCACTATTGTTTAGGATAGTGAAATCAGTGCTGTTTGTGCAATATACTAATTAAAATGACGGATAAGAGAAAGCATTACAAAACTTTTTAACTGTTTTAAGGAGGGAATTACATGTGTAATTTGAGGTACAGTCGAAGTCCATTGGTACAGCAGTGAATATGATTAGGGTGCATAGAATGTATACATGTATGTTGTGTAGTAAGATGTATAGAAACATTACATATAACTAACGCTCCGGCTTCAATATCATTCATAAAATTAATTATTATAAATATCAAATAATACCACTAAGGAGAATATTATAAGAATTATACCCGTTTGAGAAGATTTTAATAAGAAGCAATATTTACACGGAATTCGCTTGCAGCATTTCAGTTGGATTTGTAAGATAATACAGGAATAATACTCTATGCAAACTCATCACGTTCATTTGTTTTATAAATATGATGATATTCATATCCAAAATTTTCAAAACACAAGTTTCAAATTTTAACTGCTTTTGAACATTTGCTATCGTCTAGTTTAAATAAAAACAAACAATTACACGTACGTTATTTATTTTGGGTTATTTATAATTTTCCGACAAATTGATTTAATATTTTTTAACAACTTATTCAGAATTTGAGATTTCAAAAATAAACTACCCACTAGACGTATCCATATGTGTTGTTGATGTCGAAGAACCATTGTTCCCGTAACTTCAACTTGAAATGACATTTGGGGAAAATATAGAAGTTAAAAAAAAGATAAGTGAGAAACCACCAACACCAAATATACTTTTAATCTTATGAATTCATATAAAGGAATATGTGTAGGCGTCGTGTAGATTAACTGATTAGATGTTAAATGTAATGTACTGTTGAGTTCTCGGCGTCGTGTAGATTACTGATTAGATGTTAATTGTAATGTACTGTTGAGTTCAAAACGCATGTCATTAGATGTTTAATTCATTTGAAAAGGAATTATCAACATATACAAAAAATCGGCGGAAAATTCATCATTCCAAATTATTTTTATGGTGCTGACGGGGAAAATGTTGCCTATACGTACATCTACATCAGCCGCTGTGCTTTCGCGAGCAAGTACATCTAAATCTTAGTTTGTTATTGGTCTACTATAAACTGCGTTTTAGAAGCGTGTTTAAACCAAACGGTTTGTGTCGCGTTTCCGGTGCGTTTGCGTTGCGTTTGCGTTGCGTTTGCTTTTAAACGGACAAGAAAAACGGTCCAGGGTCTGTAACCATCCATAATAGCAGGTCTATAGTTATCATATCAAATTTCATTGTATATGCAATCTACATTTTATTGCATATATTATACTCCCCTTCTTTAAAAAAAATAATGAATAACCGATAAAATTAAACATACAACAGAAAATAAAGATAGTCAAACCTCAAAAATGATACGTAAACTGTATCAACAAACATATTGTTTTACCAAGGATTACTGAAATACACCTTTACAACTTGTACTGAGATATGTTATACAGTTCCGTTCAAACATATGGCATAAGGCGTGGTAACGAACCTTAGAGAATGTATCTTTTGCTTTGATTATATTACATGATATTTAATACATATTTCATCGTTTTCTGGCACTGTCGTTACGCTTAAAGTAGGATTTACATATCAATGTTTAACCACGTCGGCAACAGCCTGACAATGGCTGGTACATTATCTTCTGTTTTTGGCATATCGTCATTTCCAGAACAATTTAGACTAACTAATGCATTATCTTAAATGTTTTAGAGAATACTTAATCACGTAAGAACAATGACCTATTAATATTGCTTGTTAGATTCTTACTACTGCACGTTCTATATCATTGCCTGTACAATCTGGTACTTGGGGACTCAAAAGCGACCAAAATAGATCCCATGCACCGTTGGCAATATTTGGTACTACCTTTTAGCGCCTTGCTTGGCGATACCTCACTTTTGGCTTTGATGTTGGGTGTTCGCCAAGGTGAGGAAGGTAATGGGTTCTATCCTCATGCCGGGACATACCAAAGTCCTTAAAAACGGTAGTTGTAATTCCCCGCTTAACGTTCAGTATTTAGAGTAATGGCAACAACTGGTTCACCCGTTATCAGTATAATGTGACCGGGAGGATTGCTGTACTGGGTGCCTTCGGCATGGTATTTCAGTAAGATAGCACTATAAAGTCAGCATCAGGTCCGCGCTATCACAAGGAGGCAATACACCAATATACCTGGTATCCAGCATACATACACACATACACACATGCACGCATACACCACACACATGGGGGCAGGTCCTTAAATGACCTTGGCTGTTAATAGGACGTTAAACGATATAAAACCAAAAACAAACATATGTATGATTGTCTAGATGTCAAAGAAGATCTTATGGTTTGACATGTCATTATATAAAGTAAATGTTGAATCGTGACAAAGATAAATGTGTCCACATGAACAATATATTTTATGTTTTAAATAGACAACAAATAATTGCCTAGTATGCTGCTGGGAAAAACATGATATGTGCTTACTAGCTACAAAAGAAATTGAGAGAGGGAGACAAAAGGACAATTTCCCCGGTAAGGAGTAGATATATTTTTTGAGAGTCTCCAATTGTTGATCTAGAAGCAAGGGGAAACAAAAATGCTAAAAGGATAATGGGTGATCCTCACCTCTGTTGAAAGAAAAGGACCCGAGGAGATCAAAACTAATTTCTCCATTCATTTCTTATACAAGTTATTCAATACATACATTAACATTTATTCATAATGTGTTTCTATTGATTTTTTTCTCAATTCCTACGTCACTGGTCATCTGCTGATGTATGTATCTGAATGAATATACAACGAAATACCAGAATTTTGCTTGGGTACGTTTTCGGCATTCCTGGAATATGTTACAATGTATGACAAAGTCGAAGGCACTCAGCTAGCTGTTGGCTTCAAAGTAAAAAACACTGACAATTGGCTAAACTGATACCTGTTCTGTAAAGATAAGAGAAGCGACAACGTACTTCAAAACTCGTCAAGTCTGTGATGAACATCAAGTCATCAAACAGGTCTAATTGTATTCTTTAACATTTGGCGCGTACTGAGCCCTCAATTCCGTCCTGACATATTCCAGGGGATCAGAAAAAGGAAGTGATTATGTCCCGGAAATTAGAGGATGCGCAATAACATATCAAGCAAACAGGATATATGGAGCAACATATTCCGGAAGATATGCTGATTGCTTTTTGCGTTGAATTTCATTAAAACACTGTATTTACATATAGGTTGTTTAATACTCACCACCTTGTACCTCTCCGAGGAAGTGTAGAACACTCGCCCATATACAAATAATGTGAACGAAAACAAATGACGTTTTCATGATCTCGCTAAAAAAGTCACTTCTCTTTAATATGGTTCCCCTTTACTTCATTCTACATCAAATTCCAGTGTAACATGTTAAGAGATACACGAGTTCCCTCGCTTCTCGTCGGAATGGCACACCTGCGCAAACTTCAGTCTTTTGTCGGTTGTTCTGAAACAATAATTGCAAATAATTGTCGTTTAAAATGTTAAGGTGTAGGAATTTTATGATTATTATTGTAAGGGTCATGAAAACTAAAAAGCAATTTGTTCACTTTTGAAATAAGAAAAAGATCACACGTGTATGCATCCTCTGGTTGTCCTAGCATGCGGTTACGGCGTTGTGTTTGAATAATATATAACAAGTGAAATTCAGCTATTATCTCTATCACATCAAAGATAATATTTCATTCGTACTCTCGTGCATAATTACATTCAAGAATGCATGGTCTTTCAGACTATTCATTTTAGAAAAAAAGATTCATCAAATGGTCTATAATCAATGGTTTTGTTTGCTTGTTTCTAAATAAATGTTTGCGATATACACCATGTAATATATACATGTGATTAAATTTTTAGCTACCACTGAGTGCTATCTTGTAAATAAAAGACAACTTTGCATTCAAAACGATTAAGATTGCGTTTCGAATACACAATCTAGCAGGTACTCATGACAAGCAATTACTTTTTGTAGATAATAGCAAGCCAAAATTACTAATTCACTGGTCATCGTGGAACTTCTATCAATGAATCCTTATACTGAGAGTAATTATTCGACTGTGATATGTAAAAGAACCAGGACAGGCAGGAATGATATTACAGTTGTCGTATTTGGATGAGGAATACTAATATCAAGTTCTTCCATAAAATTTAATAGTTTGGAAATATCTGATATCAAAGTTTTACTTTATACACAAACAATTAAGGTATCAAACATGTCGTAACGTTTCAATACCGACTGGTTCCTTTGTCAAGCAATGGCTAAGTGCGCATGGCTGTTGTTCACAATTGTTTGTGTAAAAAGTAAAACTTTGCTATTAATATCAAGATGTAAAGCTAAAGATCAACATGTTCAATATCTGGGTGCCTCAGTAGCCGTGATAGCTTATCAAGCGTGAGCTTTAGACTTTTCACTCTCCCAAGAATTTCGGTTCGATCCCCAGTGGTGGCGGAAAAAGAAGGTGATGTNGTTATAAAAGCTCTACAGAGCTTATGTTAGTTGTTGACAAGAAACACGACGCTAAATAACGATTATTTATTTATTTAGTATTTTTTATTCTCTATGTCGCCAATGTATCACTCAAAATTGATTCCTAATAAATACAACCGTGTGCAGAAATTCTTGTGCAGGCTGAGTTAGATGGCATGGAAATATGTTTCACAAAATTACTTAAATATATATCAATACTTGGTCAATGTCTTTTCTCTAGATGTGTCAATAGTTAGATTACACAGACAAGGAGTATAATGTTACGAACATTTGCAGTTGGTACATACACGATTGTATAATTCTTATAGAGAATAATTATATGTTACTGGACACGAGAACTAAACATAGATATTCGAATGTGTGTACATGTAGGATGCCTAACAAGTTGTTTACATATTCAGTAAGGATACTCGCCTTAAATTCTTTTCGCTTCAATAATATTCGATCACAATCCTCACCTCGACTGCCTGCCGTTAATTTATGGTGCATTCTTTTTTTTAACACTGACATTTGTTATTAACTATATTCCATGTTACATTTAAATGAAATATGTTTTTCAAAATGAACAAAGGATTCCAGCTCTGTGGAAAGAGGTATGCGATACACTATTAAAATTCTGTCACTTCGATTGACAGCAATTCAGAAGAATTGCAAGTTTTGTAACTGTTTGTTAACTTGCAATGCTAAATAAAGATTATTTATTTATTTAGTGTTCTTTTAATTTCTCTATAATGCTCTAGCCAAACTGTGGTATCAATAAAACAGACGTTTTAAGCACTGTATATAGTGAATGAGCTAAGACTAACGAGATCAATGATGTAGGCGAAATAGTAAGGATGCCATCGACCGGATAAACTGTTGACGCCACGACAGTCAGTCATTTTATCTAACAGCAAGTTGCACACCACCTACTACAAATGTTTTGAAACTACTTTATTCAACAAGAGTGTATACATATGGTCATATTGATAATAAACATGCACATCATGTACTGCCGATTAGAGTTCATCAATGATTTGACAGGTATATAAACACAACTAGAACTTACCTTTACACGTTGTGTATAATACGCCTTGTATGTAAATTTCACGCGAAGTTACTAGTTACAGTGATCCATCTCAAGCGGGTACAGTAGGTAAGGTGTATGACGTAGACGAAATAGCAAGGATGCAATCGACCGGATAAATAGTTTACCCTAAGATAGTCAGTAGCCGACACCCTACCATAAATAGTCCCGTTATAGACGAGCGTTTAAATATTTCACTACGATGTTTCATGTGGGTTTGTAAATAAATCAGCACTGTTATATAATAAACAAATTCTGTATCATCATCGCTATCTTGGAAATCTTAGCCAATAGTAATTAGGAAGATGGCTGTGATAAGTTGTAATAACTTGTGCCCAATCCTTTGTTCAATTTTATTGGCAATACATATGTTTAAAGTAAAGTAGTAATTAGTTTTCTTTTACTAACAGGTGAAATGCACTATTGTTCTTCCTTCTTCTTCTTCTTCTTCTTCTTCTTATTCTTCTTCTTCTTCTTCTTCTTCTTCTTCTTTTTCTTCTTCTTCCTCTTCTTTTTCTTCTTCTTCTTCTCCTCCTCCTCAAGATATTGAGACCAACTTTCCTTCTCAATATAAAAAAAGGAGTAACTCTCTTGCATTACCCCTCTGTCTTTTATTTGATAAAACGCTTGAATCAGGAATATTACCAAATACCTGGAATACATCAAACATAAATGCAATATATGTTTTAAATAATAGACCAGTAACCTCATGTTTCAGTAAAATAATGGAAAAAATTGTATTCAAATACCTTTACAACTATCTAATTGAAAATTCTATCTTAACTAAGCACCAGTCTGGCTTTATACCAGGTGATTCTACTGTTAATCAGCTACTGTTTATCTATAATGAAATTGTTAGTAATATGAACCAGGGGAAGGAGCTAAGATTTTTTGTGATATTAGCAATACTTTTGACAGGGTGTGGCATAAAGGTTTCTTACATAGACTCAAAACGTATGGAATTGATGGGAATTTGCTTTTTTGGTTTGAAAATAATCTGTCTGATAGATTGCAAAGAGTCACCACTGAAGGTTATCATTCACAGTTTAAGGTTATAAATGCAGGAGTATCTCAATTATCTGTTCTTGGACCTTTTCTCCTTTATGTCAATGACATCACTGACAATGTTTCTACTTATATTAAGCTTTTTGCAGATGACACCTCCTTATATGTAATTATAGATGAAAACCCAGCACATGCAGCACAAGTTCTAACAAATGATCTCTCTAACATTGGTGAATGGAAAGGTATATGGGACATCAAATTTAACCCTAACAAAACTAAATCTGTAGTATTTTCTAGAAAACATAACAAACATCACCCCCAATAACTTTCCAAACAGCCGAATCACTGACACAACAGCACATACACACTAAGGACTGACTTTAAAAGATGATGCTTCTTGGAAACATCACCTTCTGAATATATATGAAAAATCTTACAGTAGATCAAACATTCTTCGTCAAATTTATGTAGCGTTTATTAGGCCAATTTTGGAATATGCAGACATAGTATGGGATAGTTGCACTCAACAATCTAAAGAACCTCTAGAATCTATTCAATAAGAAGCAGTCAGAATCATTACTGGACTTCGACCTGGAACGTCCCATAATACACTTTATAATATACTTGGTTGGGAAACTCTGTCAACAAGAAGAAATAAACACAAACACATAATGATGTATACAATAATGCATGGGCTGTCACCTCAATCCTTTCAATATGTCTTGAATCCTTTCATTAACAATCAAAACAATAATCCCTATTCCCTCAGACAAACAAGACTGTTTAATCCACCAATATGCAGAACTAACAATTGTTTTGACAGTTTCCGCCCTCTAATGTGCCGCACAACTATCGCTATTGATAATGATCTCTTAAACTCCCCAACTCTTGCAACCTTTAAATACCAATTGAATACAGACATTATTATTGATAATGAATCAACCTTAATTTTTAAAACAAGGTAATAGAAAGGGCCAATATTGTTCTTTGTCAACTTAGAAACTCATGTAGCAATTCAAATCTTGATTTTTATTTTCTTGAATGTCCTATGTATAATGATTTCAGACTTACTTTATTTACTTCTGTTAATAATTATGGAAATCATAACCATATTGATACAATCATTTTTCTGCAAGGCTGTCCTGATTGTGATGGATTAACAAACAGACAGTTACTTAATGATGTACAGTTATTTATTGGTAAATCCAGGCGTTTTAATCTCTTTATCATCTAACCAGCTATGCCTTTATACTTTTCTATTCCTATTCCAATTATATTACACAAATTAGAAATCTGTTTTCATTTTAAATTTACAGTAATTTAACAGTTTTGGCAACTGTGACCTGTGCATATGTTAGCATATGGACTTTTGGTCAATGTATGCCAATAACTGTGTGACTTGATAGCTTATATAAAATGTTATAAAAAAATAAATAATAGCTGTAAAAGTGTTTTGTGTGTGATATGAGAAGTGGGAATGTATTTATTTTTCAATTACGTAAATTAAGAAGGGGTTACCTCCCTTTAACTTATGTGTTTATAATTTTCATTTCAAAATTGATGCATAACATTAAATCAAATCAACAATTACATACCCGGTAATCCACGTAATCCATTTTTTAGCTACCTTTGAAGAGAATTGCCTGTTATTCCATCCAATTGACTTGTAACAACTTTGTCAATAAAATTAGTTGAAAAGAAGTATGTACATTAAATTTTGCTAGCTTGTAGGTAATAGTTTGGAAATGTCCCGGCCAAATTTTCAAGTTGATCAAAAATTCAATATGGCTGCCATGACTTATAAAGTGATTTTTTTATTTTTTTTATTTTAAACAGCCATATTTCCTTGACTCTAACTGGTTCTGTATTTATAATATAATATATTGATAGAGTGTGGCCGGGGCTACATTTGGCACATGCCATGTAATGAGGAAAAAGGTCAAGCATAAATTCTCGCCTTGGATCAAAAGATCATCTACTTTAAAAACTTTTTCATTTTTCATATTTTTTTGGAAAAAATCTTTATTTAATCGATAGTAAATGGCCATCTGATCTCTTTGATATATTTATTGTTTCTGAAACATTTCCCGTTAACGTCATATGACTTGTTCATTATTGCCTTTGATCTTTTTGGAAAGCCGACAATATTTTTACAAACTTCGGCGATCTTCATCTCCAATTCTGCACTTGCATTCCTCTGGGGGCCCTTACGAACTTATGTTACGTTCTAGGGCAATTGATATTCTAAGATGGCCGCTACTATCTTTGATTGGTTAACAGCCTATACCAATATTTTTCGTTAACGATATAAAGCACACAGTTGATCTTTGGATATGATATAAAGATATACAAGGGCAAACTTTCTCTTTCATATTGTTTTAGCAAAAATGTCAACTTCCGGTTTTCGGTATGGAGCCAAAGTTCAAGTGTGCTGTTTTGGGTAAAAACATTTACGTAGCTTCTACTCCAATTCCGCTAGTGCAATAATAACCAAAATTAGAACATGCATCCCTCTGGGGGTCCTAACGAACTTACGTTAATTTTTGAAGCAATTAAGATTCACACATGGCCGCCTCGAGCTCTGATTGGTGAACAGCCTATACCAGTACGTGAATATGTCGTTATCGATTTGAGGCACAAAGTTGATGCTTGGATATGATGAAGAAATAAGCAAGTTTTTTTTCTTTTTTCTGTCAAATTGTTTTACCAAAAAAGTCAACTTTCGGTTTTTGTTTTGGGGGTGAATGTTTTGATATGTTATATTAATCTTTATCGATCTTCTCCAATTCTACCAAGCAAATATTAACCAAAATGGTACAACTAATCTTCTGCGGCTCCTTATGGCCAGCACGAGCTCAGATGAGGTAATCTATACAATGTATTATGATAAATGGGACAAAGTTTAATATGAATAGATAGTGCGATGTGCAGTCTCTTGTACAAAATGAGCTAACTTGAAGAAATGTTAATATGAGTTATCTCCCTTTGTATTCTATATTTTGACTTCAGACAAAAAAAAGGCAAATTGTTACAATTTCTAGTATCAAACGTTATTATTTTATACCGATCAACCGGTCCTTGGTGTCGTTGGATATTCTGTTAAAATACGTAACCGTTGTATATTACTATTGTTTTGGTACTTTCCCATGACTGTAGCCATTTTGATTTGAGGCTGAAACATGTATGTCTCTCTGTAGCTAGTAAAGGTCGTATACGAATGAAACGCACCGTACAGCGCGACCTAAGATACCTGTTTGAAACCATTAAGCTGTGTTGTTCACTGATATATGGACAGTTGAACATCCTGTTTGCACACGTAAAAAGGAACAAATGATCTAATTACATTCCACGTTTTAAAAGAGGTGGTAAATGAAGACATCTGTGCTTATTATTATTAATTAATCACCTCTTTAAAAACGTAGAATATATTTAGATCATTTGTTCAGCCAGGTTGTCTTTTTCAAACAGAAATGAAACAGATTAGTTTTTAAATCATTACACAAAGATTTTTAATTCATTACATATACTTTATATTTTATGTATCATGTATGTAATGTTTGATAATTTTATATTTGGTCTGTGATATTGATATATGTCATTTATTGTGAATTGTTATTTGTTATCAACCTGTAAGTGGGCGTTCTGGCCTGTTGGATTGAAATTAATGAAAATATACTTTGGATAACAAGTATTCCGCTTTGTTTTGTGTGGTTAAATAGTAAGGCAACATGCCCAATTTTTATTACAGAATATTTTTTTGTCGGATAACTTAGCCTGTCGGTTAAGTTATTAGAGAAAAAAGGGAATAGACAGTCTTTTTGGCTCATTGAATCAGTGAAGCGCACTAGCTCGCCATGTTGAAGTTGCTTTTATCCACTCTGCATTCATATTAGCTCTGAGGGACAACTGAATTATCTACTAGCACTTCAATTATATCTACTAGTTTTGAAATTTGATAATCTAATGGAAAGTGTAATGACACACAACATTATCCCGCATTTAGTTCAAATAATGTATGCTTGTTAAATAAATAGAAGAGCCATCCGTCCAGGAATGGTCAATGGTGTCTAACGTAACAAATATAGCGCCATAATAATGGCGATATCAACAATGCGCCTGTACGAATGTCATCTAAATGTAGTAGGATTATATATTGGTAATGCCATATGATGCTAAATTTTACAAAATGTCCTCCAATACCAGTGAGAGGAAGTCGGGATTTACTATGTGCTTTAACTACTTCTTGAGGGTGTGTTTTAATTCAATGGCATTTTTGAAGTTTTAACAGGCTTGCAAAGTTAAAAAAAACATGTATTTTTTATCACTGTGGCAGACAAGATCACGAATTTGTAGTTATGTAATTTTATCTGATCAAGATGTCTCAATGGCAGCTATCTCCTTATCAAAATTATGAGAAGGAAATTTCTATTGTAGATACATTATTTCCTTTCCTTCTCAGGGATACGAATAATAAGGTAAGTAGTCTGCTTTGTCATTAATGTCATGCTATCAAACACAGATATCATTTAATAAAAAAAACTTAATCAGCAATCAAATTGCAATGAGATTAATAATTATAGTAGGAATAAAATGATAAAACGAACATTTGGTTGTTTCTAATGCCTTATTAATGATTATACAAAGGACCATGTGAAACAATGGCAATGCTAGCGCTATGTGAACACAGCTTACGTGTAGAATTTGCACAAGAAAGACAACTCTTACACAGTTTGTAAGAGATCTCTATAGCTTTTATGTATCCTATATAGATGTAGTTTTAGAGATGATAGCTAATAGACATTCTAGTACCTCCATTAATTGTTTTCTTCTAAATAATATCAATAACTTTGTAAATTTGTATTTGTTGAAACAATTCAAATAACACATTGAACAATTTATTGAAAACTTCTATAATCATAATAAACACTGTAGTGATAAAAAAATCCACAAAGTCAGAACCAGGGTAAGGCCAACGAAGCAACAAGTCACATATTTATCGTAAACACCGACCTTCATAAATCACATAAGCATATAGAATAGTTCCCAATGTGGTCCTGGTTGCGACCACAAAACTTGACCGCAGTTATTAATAAACCTGCATCCATTGACAAATTGTGCTGTTTTCTATCGCTAGTTGACATCCATCACGGACATCATGACATTCGGAGCACGTTTTTGAGTATCGATTTAACTGCAACATGTAAACATCGGCCTTTTTTATGGTCGGGAAGCATGGATATTACTATCAAAAAAGGAAACTTCTGGATAGAAAAACCGAAATCGTAACGCTTTTTTTTCAGCGTAATAATTTTTCTCTGTTGGTAATCGTTTTAGTAAAGAAATACATAATATGCACTTCTACTGTGACCCTGATTAAGTGATCTAAAATGGTAGTTAGAAGTTTAGATAATAGTTTATTTGATCAATTAGTAGAGCCAGCAATAAGAATGTTAACTACAAAGTTTCTTTAATATTTTTTGGAATCCAATACAAACGTGGCAGGTCCGTAATCTTATCATTAAAGATTGGATTGTAAGACAGTTTCGAAAAATTAAAAAAAATGTATAAGCAGGACTTATATATATTACGCTCTAGTCTTCACGTAATCCTCTGAATATAATCCCTTTCATCACTTGTCTAAGTATTTTATCGTTTGATCCAGTATGTATCAGAACATTTTTGTGTATATACTGATTTGTATTTGACACCTTCCTACAAACATATTCTACGAATTTTTCCCCAAAATGCTTTTAAAGATGATCTTCCCTATATACTACGAATAACACATTTGCAAGAAGTTTTCTTTTCAGAATACAAGCCATGTTTCCGGATAGATCGTTTGTCACTGAAACCTTCACCACACATATCACATTTGTAAAGTTTTTCTTCATTATGAATGCGGAAATGTATACGAAAGTTGCTCTTCTGATTAAACATTTTACCACACACATCACAGGTGTATGGCTTTTCTGAAGTATGTATACGAATATGCATTTGCAAGCTGTCACTTCTACTAAACGTTTTACCACAGGAATCACAGTTGTAAGGTTTTTCTCCAGTATGTGTCCTCAGGTGTTTCCGCATGTCCCCCTTGTCACCGAAACACTTACCACACATATCACACCTGTAAGGTTTCTCGCCAGAGTGTATTCGGATATGTACTTTTAGCGTGTACTTTCTACTGAAGGATTTATCACAAATATCACATTTGTATCGCTTTTCCTCTGAATGTATCATCCTATGTTTTCGTACATCACGTTTGTCACAAAATCCTTTACTACAAATATCACACGTGAAAGGCTTTTCTCCGTTGTGTACCCGACCATGTCTCTGTAGGTCCATTCTGACGTTGAATTTCTTACCACAAACATCACATTTGTAAGGTTTTTCTCCGGTATGTATGCGAAGATGTTTCTGCCTAACACACTTGCTTTTGAAATCTTTACCACATATATTGCATGTGTAAGGTCTTTCCCTAGAATGTACACGAACATGTCTCTGCATGTTTCGTTTAGCATGGAACTCCTTACCACAAACATGACATTTGTTGAATTCACCTCCTGTATGTGACGTGAGATGGATCTCCATGCTGCTCTTTTCAATGAACACCTTATCACAAACATGACATTTGTAGGGTTTTTCACAAGAACCACCGACATTTTGTTTCCAATTACGATGACTAAAACTGTCACAATTGTATTTTTCTTTATATGTTTTGCTTTCTTCTTTAGGCTGTTTCTGTGCTTTGATATGAGGCCTATTCCCCTTTCTGACGTCTTTAGGCTGTTTCTGTACTTTGATAAGAGGCCTATTCCCCTTTCTGACGTCTTTAGGCTGTTTCTGTACTTTGATATGAGGCCTATTCCCTTTCCTGACGTCTTTAGGCTGTTCCTTTACTTTGAAAAGAGGCCTGTTCCCCTTCCTGACGTCTTTAGGCTGTTCCTTTACTTTGATATGAGGCTTATTCCCCTTCCTGACGTCTTTAGGCTGTTCCTGTACTTTGATATGAGGCATTTTCCCCTTCCTGATATCTTTTGTCGAATAAGAGACTTCTAAAACAAATAAACGCAAAACTATTACTGAAACAATAATTTGGTGTTGAACACTGGTCAATTTCAAGATGACTGTTTAATATGATGTACGCAGCATGGTATATTTGCTCAGCCTACATAAGCTGCAATTGCCCTAACCAAGATTTCACCTATAGCCAAATTCTAAACTAGCAAATATAGAAAAAGGTAACTAGCTGTACATGTATATTAAATTGAAAACTGTATGCATTATATTATACTATTAGACATATGCTCCATGTTCATTTTTAAAAGACTTACTGGGTACATGCATACGAAATGTCATCCTACTGCATGTATTATATTATACTATTAGACACGTGCTCCATGTTAATTTAAAAAATAAATCTAACTAGGTACATGGAGACTCAATTTGATTTCTGTATGTATAATGTTATACTAGTATTAGATATATGCTCCAGACAAAAACTGTTTCAATGATTGGCGTCAAGGACCGAAATGTAGCTATTTTTAGTACACAATTCTCTGTCATTCCAAGCTACCGGGCTATTCTGTATATCGTATGATATGCATTATATATATCTCACTTGAAGTACGTAATGCGCCCATAATCTGGTTCCTGACACATATTAACTCTAGATGTTACCTGGAACACAAATAGTGTACCCTGTTTCCTGGAACACAAATAGTGTACCCTGTTTCCTTGAACAGAAATAGTCTACCCTGTTTCTTTGAACACAAATAGTCTACCATGTTTCCTGGAACACAAATAATGTTCCCTGTTTCCTGAAAAACAATAGGTTACCCTGTTTTCTGGAACACAAATAGTCTATACTGTTTCCTTGAACACAAATAGTGTACCTTGTTTCCTGGAACACAAATATTCTACCCTGTCTCCTGGAACACAAATATTCTACCCTGTCTCCTGGACATAAATTGAGTTTATTCCCCTTTCATAGGTTCGCGCTGTTGTACAACTAAATGATATTTTGAAGCAGTATCATGATGGGTACACAGCTATTTCAGACATGTAACCACATACATGAAAACTTCTTTTTAAATATTTATTGTTTACTTGGTAGTGTTAGCGATAACCTTGGTCTATTGATTAGCCCGACAGGTTATAAGCATCAGATAACACAAATCCCGTGTTTTGGTTCAAATCGCCCGAGTGTACAATTTCTTTTCAAATTAAAATATGTTTTTTTAATATGCGAGATAAAATATCAGAAACATCACAAAATATAGAAGACATCGGAAAGATGCCATTTGGAGATTTGTCAACTGGAAATATAACTGTAAAGGAAAGTCCGAATTGAGGCAACTTAAAAAGTACTACAGATTTTTTATACCAAAGAGGTCACGTGACCTAACACATGATTGAATACCTTTACTTATACAATAGGTTGTTGTGTTTGCTTTCATCTGCTCAATTTGCGTCACTGTCACTAGATCTCTTCGGTGTTGCTCCTGGCATTCCTTTCTGGTCTTGGTTATTACCATCTGTTGTACTAAATCCCAAAAGTCCGGGTGATCCTCGGGTATAAATGTGATAGCACTGTAACAGACAGGAAACCTGTTAACCTGGAACGATCTTAGAAACTTATTACTGACATTTTCTCTGCATTGCCACTATATAAATATACCAAAGCTTTAATTTAAGTGACAATAAATAATCATGACGTCGGTAATGACCTTGTTGGTTGTTTCATTGATGGAAAATACACTCCAAATATGAAGAAAAAATGGAAATCTTAATACCATCTGTGCGTTAATATCAATAATATCAATGAAAATAGAAATATAAGTTTCAAAGTGCATTCTGCTCAGTCTTAACATGTAGTCCTACACTTATAGGGCTGCAGACAAATATTTATGACACTCCAACGGTCATGATGCGATTTGCCTCTGCTCTTGTTTAAGATTGTAAGACTATAACTAATACTTTAATGCTGACTTATATCAATAATGGATCTACGAGTTAGGGAGATAGTTGATACTTATTATACCTCTACTTAGTTTACACTTTACAAAAGTAACCACATAAACAAGCTATTTCCCCTCTTACTGCATGCCAGGGAAATAGTTCATCTGGAGGGGTGCGATAGTTTTGAAACTATTTCCCTCGGAAAATCCGGGAAATTGAGTTACGGCGTGGGCGGGGCCTGACCGAATATTGACCAATCAGCGCAATCGAATTAATTCAGAATTCGCATTTATGTTAATGCTAATTTTCAAGCAAAAGCTGTGATTTATTGTTTATTGTACATGTGATATCCTTTATTTCATGTTATTGCAAATACTGTTTTTTTCTGATGTTTTAGTTTTTTTAATAAAGTGTCCCAACTGTTGAAAATTTGTTGTCTAATAATATTTAGAATATTGTAAGGGAGTGTTTGTATCGTTATAATAAAACAGTTGAAGTGTGGGTATTTCGGGATATAGCAAGTTTATGATCCCCCTCGTCCAGGGCTTCACCTCGGGAAATAGTCCTGGTCTCGGGGGATCATTAACTTGCTATATCCTTCATACCCATACTTTAACTGTTAACTAAACTGCAACAGTTTAACCCCACGAGTTACATGTTGATCAGACATTTGAGTAAAGACACTGATCCATGAATTTCATAAACAAATTATTATGTACTTTACTATATATAAACCAAAGGGAAAGAAAAAATGCATTCTATCGTCAATGGATTGCACTTAAACTAGTGAAACTCATATCATTCTTCAAATAAAAACATATACTTAACCAGCTTTATGTGTCCCTTCAGTACATTATTTAAAACTTTTGGTAGATTTATATAGTTATTGAAACACTTATATTATTACTGATACAGAACTTTGATTTGTATGCCCATACACATTCATTGATATAGTTATATAACCTATACCTATGTATTTAGTTACCAACATATGACATCACCTATACCTAAATGTCAAGTTACTGATGTAGTAATTTGAACTGAAAGAATTTTCCACTTACCGACGCAAATGTGTGATCTCAAAGGAAGTCCATTTTCTTTCTTGGAGCGGTTCTGTTTTACTGTGCTCCTGTTTATCCAGCAAGCGGGTCATTGTTCTAGATGTCACGCCATTTCTTGACCTTTGAACTACGTCATCACTTTCAATACAGCGAGACATTGTTCTAGTTGTCACACCATTCCTTGACCTTTGAACTACGTCATCACTGTCAACACAGCGAGACATTGTTTTATTTGTCACACCATTTTTTGACCTTTGACCTTTGCCATCCCTGTCAGCACAGCGATACATTATTCCCATTGTTGCATCATTTCTTGACCTTTGAACTACGTCATCACTGTAGGCACATTTCTCGTTATTACAAGATTGAAAGACTAAAAGAGAAGATGCTGTTTTCCCTTAATTGTCACCTTTTTAACTTTGCTGGCTGTTATTTGAAACATATTTGCTCAAAACATGAATAATCCTAACTTGTTCCCAAGAAATTTGTCCTCTATGTCTTTGCCTTAACTTTGTAACCTGCTTATTCACACAAATATCACGATCTACATATAAGAGTCGTTATAATTCTCCCTCTCTTGTGACGGTTTTGTCCGAGTTCTGTCATGATCTTAATATGTATTCATCTCATCTGTATCAACCTGTGTATCAGTTCTCATCGCCTTCTCCTGACGTTCATCTGTCATTTTTGTCTCCTTTCCACTACTTTTCCGTTGTATGTATATATTTGTTTTCATTGATTCGATTTTGATCACTTTGGAATCTTTTATACAAACTTTGCACTTAATATGATATACTCTATTAAGTGATGGCCTTACAACAATCTATTGTATATCCATGTATTCGATGTCAGGACATTGGATAGAATAGTGAATATCTGTGTCATTTACAGCAATATCTCTTCTCTGTGACTTTGAGATCCTGAAACGACAATAAAAACATTCCCAGTGTATAAGTTACACATTTCATAATTGAAAAAAAAGTATTGCTTACATTTAGAAATATTTGCATTTCTATTGAACTTGATCTCCTACCAAGGAGTATTAAGACAATTTTCCTATGAATACGCCAGAAAATTAGTGCAGAAATTAGTCCAATTAATAGTTACAATCTGTTTTTTTTATTTTCCCTTTTCAGAAAGTTAAGCTTGAAAAAACATCTGTTTATGTATGATGTGTTTTTAAGGATTGTAAACAACACAGAACAGCTTTTCCTATCAGACGATTTCACACTCACAGTGACGTCACATGCGTCAGCACATATCATGTCATAAACAACTTGCACACATCAAATATTTAAGAAATTCTAAAAAAACGCATTAAATGTAAATATATATGGATCGAATCATGTTGTGTTGAGATTGATGGAGGTATAAACCTCCATGGATCTTGAGAAAAATTTGATATGAACTGCTTTGAATTTCATTAATATACCCCATAAACCTCAATACAAAATGATTCAATCCTTTAATGACAATCATATTATGTAGTCAATAATAATAATTCGAGGTTCTTATATACCGCTTTATCACAAGCTGGTTCGTAGGTCGTCTCAAAGCGGTTCACAAATTATTATCCGTGGTTATAAGGCCTATGCAACCAGCCAATACCTTTCTCAACTCCCTGGGGAGCATACAGCCGGAGCTGCCATTTTGACGCTCACAGCTAGCATTCTACCCAAACACGTACTTATTTACAGCTGAGTAGACTGGAACAAGCGGAGTAAAGTATCTTGCTCAAAGATACAACACAGTGCCGTGACTTGAGTCGAACTCGCAACCCTCCGGTCATGAGTCCGGCGTCCTACCACTAGACTACCGTGTCTCCACAACGTAAGTCAAAACAGTCATGTCTCATTGTTTTTTTTTGTTTTATTATTTTACTATTGTTCTATCTGTTATAGCCTTATACACGTAATTTCTTCTAGCAAACCTTATACAGGAGCCTGCAGTGGAAATGTAAATACAAAAATATATACACAATGTCAAGGTGGTGATGTTCAACCTTGACATTGATAAAAAAAACATGGTTTTCCTATGTTATTTGTTGGATTATGTTGATATTGTTGTAAAAATGATATTGAGTTCGTTTCGTACAGAGTGTTCGTTGCAAAAGTATCAAACATAAAAAATCCACGTTAAAACAAAAGGTGAGATACAAACAACGCACCATCCATTGATCATTGTACATTATATAGTTGCAGAAATTTAACTTTAGTTTTCTATTATTAAGCAGTAGCTGTCTGTTATTGTGTTTAATCAAGGACAATTTTCTGGCCAAACAATGGAAGTAACAGATAAAAGATAACTTTAAGACCTAGCAAGTTTAATAAGAAAATCCACATAGTTCTTACAAAACAATCGTTTTTCCAGATACATTTAAATTTAAATATATCATTCATATTTTCCAGTAAAATATAGTCCATTGAAACATCATCGATATACTTATTTTATCCAGAAATAATCCAGCTGACCGTCACTGTTGAATTAAAAATTGAAATCAATCACACTGCACAGCAAATTTGATTTCAGGAATGATAAAATAAACATTTTCAAAACATAAAAAGTATAACATATTTGTTTCATGAAATGGGCGAACTTACACCAGATTCAGATATAATCCGATGTATATACACACTATTTTATACATGTGTTGATGTAGTATTAATCCCATAGGCATTTCCTGATGAATAACAAACCGTGGTTTTCAGTATAGTGGTTCTTTTATGAAAGCTACAGTAAATTAACTGCCATCAAAACATATTGAAAGCAATATTGTCATCTCATGAGAATTACACGTTCTCGTTTGAACTGTCCATGCTGGGCTGAGTGATAAATAATCAGGGTCCCAATAACAATAAAGTCGCTCTGCATAAACCTGTCCAATAAGTCAGCAATATGCACTCATGCATGATCGACCGTAGCCCATGCTGCAGTTCATAAATGCCTTGTCATTAACTTCGTTACCGGTGAACTGTTAAATAACTCTCTGTGAGAGAATGGACAATTTCTCGCCTCTTTCCTTTCCTTAAACAAGATTCGTTGTGATCCTATCCTTTCTTGGCATCCGAGACACGGAAAATGAAAACACTGCAAGAAAAGGTTTTGCAACATGTATTAAAGCTTGCTTACTTTTATGAAACAACATGAAACGAAATAATGATTTGAAAGCTTCATATTTCAGTTGAATAAAGCTCCTTGCGACGAGGTCGTACTTTGACTCCAACAGGGAATTTATACCTCACATTATGACGCCTTTTCCGTTTTCTTAAATTGGTAGTCAAGCGTAGTGTTTCTTCGTTGTACCTAGTTACATTATTCGGTGCCATATCAATTGTTCCATGTATCGTTTGGTTATAACCATCTGCAGACCTCAGTCGTCACATGCCTGCATTTTAATGTCTTCAGTTGCGCCAATATCCATACCATAGCTGGTGTCTGTTGTTTTATGGTCGGCTTGTACTGGTTTCTTACTGCTTTTGAGCTCCTAGGTGTACGTCCGACATGTTGGACTGTACTCAACGAAATAAGGTTTAGCGTTTGGTTGGTTGATGGGTTTATAGTCTACACTTCACTGACGAAGTCTGTGTTCGGTCGACTTGAGGGGGTAAATTGACGCTTACCGGGCCCTCTGAGATTCAGAAGTCCTGCTCATCCAGGTCACGCTCTAAGGTCGGACAGCTCCTTAGATGCGGACAGGCTGTCACAGCTACTGAGGTCTACGGGAACACGTCCTTTCTGTAGTCCTCACTGCCCTCCTATGAGGTTTAACGGCTATTGGTCCGTCCATTATAAGGCCGTGTTGTGGCTTCTGATTGTTCAGCTAATACGTCAGTGCGCAAGCGCAGATGTTCGAGAGTTGTAGGCTTTAAATCCACGAGTTACAGACCCTGGACCGTTTTTCTTGTCCGTTTAAACGCAAACGCAACGCAAACGCAACAGAACGAAAACGCAACGGAAACTCAAAAAACCGCAACGGAAACGCAACGGAAACCTAACGCAAACGCACATAACCCGTTTAATTAAACACGCTCCTAAAAACGCCGTTCATAGTAGACCAATAACGGCCTTAGATTTAGATGTACTTGCTCGCGGAAGCGTGTCGGTCTCTGACCCTAACTCTGACCTATATTTACCTATACAGCGCTCTCGTGTTATTTGCACAGCGGCAGATGCAGATGTACTTATAGGCAACATTTTCCCTGTCAGCACCAAAAAAATAATTTGGAATAATGATTTGTCCGCCGATTGTTTGTGAATATTGATAATTCGTTTTGAAATGGAATTAAACTTTTAATGTTATCCATTTGGAACTCAACAGTACATTACATTTAACATCTAATCAGTTAATCTACACGACGCCGAAACACATTCATTTTTATGAATTCATAAGATTAAAAGTATATTTGATGTTGGTGGTTTCTCACTTTTTTAATTTCTATATTTTCCCCAAATATTATTTCAAGGTGAAATTACGGGAATAGTCTTGAACAATGGTTCTTCGACATCAACAATACATATGGATACGTCTAGTGGGTAGTTTATTTTTTTAGTCTCAAATTCTGAATTTGTTGCTAAAAATTATTAAATCAATTTGTCGAAAAATAATTAACAACCCAAACTTAACAACGTACGTGTAATTGTTTGTTTTTATTTAAACTACGCGATAGCAAATGTTCAAAAGGAGATGAAATATGAAACTTGTGTTTTGAAAATATTGGATATGAATATCATCATATTTATAAAACAAGTGAATGGAATGAGTTTGCATAGAATATTATTCCTGTATTATCTTACAAATCCAACTGAAATGCTGCAAGTCAATTCCGTGTAATTATTGTTTTTTCTTAAAATCGTCCTTTCTACTTATATCTCAAACAGGTATAATTCTTATGATATTCTCTTTAGTGGTATTATTTGATAATTATAATCAGTATCTATATGAATGATATTGAAGCCGGAGCATTAGTTATATGTATCTTATTTATACATCTTACAGCACAACATACATGTATACATTCTATGCACCTTGTTACGCTTAATCATATTCATTGCTGTACCCACGGACTTAGATAATCTAATTCCGTGCTGTACCTCAAGGTACACATTTTCATTTGTCTGAGTGATGAAAATATAATCTGAAATCTGAATACTTATGTAATTCCCTCCTTAAAACAGCCTTGAACTAAAGTTTTGTATTGCTTTCTCTTGACCGTCATTTTGAAAAATATACTGCACAAACAGCATTGATTAATCCCAACTATCATCTGGTCTTTGCTTTTACATGACCTTACCTTTATTATTGTTTAAACGTGTGGTCACCCCTGTTACCTGCGGCTATTGTTATTTCGAAGATGAAGACCACATGGTGTGGTTTCAGGCACAGGGACCCGGGCATTTGCTACAGTTGGTTTGTTTGGACCTATCCCGCTGTGTAGTAATATTGGATGTTCTTCTTCTTCTTGATGTGATAAGGCGTCATGTATATTAACTTAATCTGAGAATTTAGGAAGTATAAATTAGATGTTTTAGTGGTTAACACTATTGCTTGAAATAAGTACCGCCCCTCCTTCCAACCGCATCCAAGATTTTATTTAGACTCTCGGGTCCCTGTGGACGCAGAGACGTCCTTTGTCGACGTATCTAGATTAAATTTCTCCCACGAAATCTGAGAATTTAGGAAATATAAAGTAGATGTATATCAACCAACACATGGGGAGAATGATTACTCCGACATATCAGAATAGGTCCAAACAAACATTATTGTAACTAATTAAGTAGCTTATACTACTTTTTATACGTCTCTGATTTAATTTTACGTATCGTTTTAAATTAATTGAAATATTAAACAGGGAAAGTATTAAGACGACCTCCGTGCACGGGTGTGTGTAACTTCGGGTATATAATAATGAAGAATGAAGCTGAGTAACACTTAATGCCCTTTTCATTATGCGTTGGAAACGTATGGTTGTGAGGCATAGATAACAAAGGACATCAAGGGATTAGGGGGTTAGATTAGAGTTTATTAATTTGAAGTTACGCTATAAATATATCAGAATGTGCTTTATGTATTTTATATCAACTAAATTCAAATGAGATTTAGATCACTAGTTCCGTAAAAATTAAAATAGTGTGTGGGGGAGGGGTTAGGCGGTCAGCATCTGACGAATGACGGCAACATTTCTTTTAAAACATTTTTCTAACATACATAATAGTTTTATTTTTCATAATTTCCTTTCTTAAATCTGCAACAAAGAGGTGTTTTGACAGGGACAGTATACGTCCCTGGTTTTGATAGGAAATTACATATACCATTTATATCTTATAATTGGCACAAACATGTCCAGTATATAACACCGTCCTTTCAGATATACGATTAGCAACTGATTCGTGTGTCAAGAGGTTGAATGAGTATCAAAATCAAACTTCACACTGTATCTATTTAAATTTTCATAATTTTAATTTCTTTTATTCCTCTAAGCACATTTTATTCTACTTGAAAATCATAAATTTACGTTTCTAGTTGTAAGTATTTTATGATAATTTCAGCAAAATCACAATGTAAATCCTAACGTGTGAAGTCATCTCATATCAAAATCCTTTTGCTAATTTACCTGGATATGTAAACCAGAACAGACCGGCGTGTTACGATGACCATAATCGCTATCAGAGGTGGCCTTAGCTCAGCGGGGGTGCACTACCCCTCACCGGTACATCCCGATTTCAGTAAAGCCAAAGCACACGCCTGTACTGGTGGTCGTGTACTGAAAGGCGCAAGGCCGTACGTAATAGCGGACGTTTCAAGTAAAACGTTACCATCAAAATCAATCTGTACTGGCTCTTATTAAAGTGTACCCTGACGAAAATAAAAATGAATATATTTTTATTCTATATCATCCAAACACAAAAATGTCGAAAACCGCCTAAAAATCGGTCATCCCAATAACGAGATATTGACGTGTAAATTGTACGATTTTCACCTGTCCTTCTTCTCCCAATTGGCATAAACGTAACTTGTGCTGATTCGGCCCCTATCGGCTGTGACGTCACAAGTTCAACGCCTGTAGCGGTCACCATCGAAGGAATATGCGATTATCAAGAACAGTCATGGTCATATATCGTCAGATTGCGAATTAATATGTTTTTTTTTAGTTTTGAGGAATCAGATTATGCTGAAGTTAACATTATGTATATGATATCCAGCCATATAAAAATGTTCAAGAATTTCCAGACAGTGAGTTTAATCACGGACTTAGATAACTAATCTAATTCCGTGGTTTAATTGAAACCAAACTGAAGACTCTGAATAGGGTAACATAGACTGGTAGCATTGCATGTCCTGATCCTGAGCACTGATAAGACTTTTTTCGAATGAACGAGTTTGAGGGAAATTAAACAGAAATAGTCTCAATGTTATCGATCAAAGATATTTCTTGATTTTAGCTGCAAAGTCAGTTTGCAATCATTTTCTTTACTCTACACAGAGACGTATATACTTTATATGTTTCTGCTCTACAGTGAGAACTTATCCAATCATGTCGTCATTGAACAGCACTGCGTCGTGACCAGTTTCTGTGTCGGAATATTTATTTTGAAAAAAGTTATATACTGTGGTACCTCTACGGTCTAAAAATACGGAAATATATCAGTGAAAATGTTTACAAAATAACTTCAACGCTGGTGTCTGCTGTTTTTAAATGTCAATATTTGTAGTATCACCGCTTACAAAAGTTTTAATTTAACATCTTGGTTAAATTATGAAAATCATCTCGATCCACTCCCTTAGCATACTTGGGTATGAAATGTGTGTACAGGTAAATAATATGGAAGGGGATCACCGCCATAATTATTTTTTATAGAATTAGTTACTTCTGGTTTTGAATCTAATTCTATGTACATTTGTATTATTTCCCTAGTTGATAAGTTATATAATTAGTTACTTCTGGTTTGGAATCTAATTCTATGTACATTTGTATTATTTATCTAGTTGATTAGTCTAGTGTCTATTTTCCATGCTATGTACATTTGTGTTGTTTCACTCGTTTACAAATCTATTGCGTGTTCATTCCATGCTATGCTAGTTCTACCGATCGCGATTTCGACATCGTTTATGATGGAGCGCCACTTGTCGTCTTAATGAGGAACTAAAATTCTAGAATTCATTCTAGCATTTATTCTAGAATTTTAGTTCTCATTAAGACAACAGCCGGCGCTTAAATCGCCAACGAAATTCGCGGAAAATAATGCTCGCTCCCTTAAACCGGAAACAGACCCGATTGTGGCAGTAGATTTTTGGAAAAATA